GCCATCCATTCTGTGCAGAAATTTCATTTATCAAGTTGATCCTTGATGTTCTGTTTTCTTGTAAATTTGCATTTATCGAGTTTTTCGAGTTCTCACATGTGAAATTTGCATACAAGTATTTAATATTGTTCAATTCATTATTTATGCCTTCGTTCCTTTTATTTCGCTCTATTTATTGTATTCAGATATCGTTCACACGTTCATGATTTTATGGTAATTTGATTGTATCTCTCAGGTATTCTTATCGATCCTATCCTCTAAGTTCCATGTGAGATTGTAGGTTCGATATTACTGAAGCGAAATATTTTCAGTGTGGGTAACCATATACATTGCCCTACTTCCTTCTTCATTTTAACTTCTGCAGTTGATGAGAATATCATGTTATGAGAATATTCACTATCAGTTTTCCAATAAAAATATTGCTACAGGTTTTAGGTGGTATTTGTCCAATATTTGGTTGTCTTTGCTTCTTCGTTATGCTTTCCATAGCTCCGAGAGTAAACAATGTTCATTGAGACATTGGACATAACCAAAAACGTGCTTAGAAATCGGCGAGCGATAATATACTTGACAACGTGCAAAATTTATCTGAATGGAGCGTAAAATATCCGTGGACTCCTTTGCGAAAGGCTTCCAAAACCGGAAATCTATCTTTTCGTTAAATTCTAGCTTAGCCTCAGTCGCATGTTAGTCTTGTGGTTGACTTTGGTTCCTCTTATTGTATCATTGGCTCGATTGAATGCTCGTTTTCATGAGGTTTCCTCAAAATCGGTTGACATTAACATCTGAAATCAACCAAAGCTAGGTAGCGTTTACGTGCGTATACAGTTCAGTTCAGTCATACTGGTCCATGAACTAATCCTCAAATTGCAGAATTTGAATGAAAATGCTCCGAACGATGATCGAATTGGCTGGTTTCAAATTGGGCAGTGAGAGTATTCAAATGCATGGTAAGTTGAGATGTATCTGGTCTATTCATGAGCCTGGGCAGGAGGAAATAGAGCTCTTCCCTGTTGGAAGAGGAATCCCCCATGAACTCGTGTTTCGGTGTGAATAAATTTTCCTCTAGAGTACCTTCAAAAGTGCTTAAAGAGGCGAAACGCTGGACTAATATAAATCTGATTTGCTGGTGTTATTCAGACCGATCTCATTCTCAATTTCAGTGCCACTCTCGGATCATTGTGCTATTGAAGAGATCGAAACGAATATTGATGAAGTTGGAAAGGAGGAATTCGGATTTGCCGGCGACGACAATGAGTCGACATATAGCGACTTTTCGATTGCTAGCAGCATCTTTGACGATGAGCAGGATACTTTTGTGGAGTGGATGCATGATTTCGACGGTATCGATAGCGAGATGTCGTTGAACTCGTTCGTTGCAGCAACAGATAACGACTGTGTTTTTGGTGAGTTGAAATTTTGTGAATTTCTGTCGTGTAATTTATTTATTTATGAAGCCAAAAGTTTGTATTGATTATCTGAATGCTTACATGAATAACACATGCTTACATGGCATACAAGTCGCTGTAAATAACAACAAGTCTTCTTGATTATTCCACTTGATCAAACTGGGAAACTGTGCTAGAGAACGTCAAATCCCGAGGAAGACATGAGTCTATCAATGCTGGAACGAGTAAATTGCAGCTAGCCAAGAGCTGAATAGAAAATCATGAAGCGGAGAAAGGGAAGAAGTGTTGAAACATGATATGATAATTGAGCAATGTTTATTGCATTACTAGAAAACGAGCATGACGGATACCAGTGGCATATTTGTTGAAAGGCTATCCTATTATATTTCAGTTAATTTGACATAATGAGTGTTGTTTCGCATTACAAATATACTCAGAAGATGCTTATATATGTGCTGTGTGTTCGCATCTCAGAATGCGTTTTCTTTTTAGCAATTCGATAGTGAAATGCAAAAATTTAATTAGAAGAGAACCTATTGAATAATGTATCTGAGAGAATCCATTACTGAAGTAAAATATCCATGCTGGAGACACGCATCAGGCTTTTTTTTGCGCAATACTCTGCCTTTTCAATNGGTTGTCAGTTTTCGCAGGCGTGTGCTTTTTTGTGGTACCTCTTTGAGATTTTGTGGACAACTTCATTTCCTCGGGACCTTCATTAGGAAGCTTTTTGCGTGTTTTATTCTTTGGAGCATGCTGAAGCCAGTCATTTTGCTTTTATGTTGTAGGATTTCCGGACTCTGAATGAGATTTTGTTCTTCAAAAAATTGTTTGTTTTCCGCTTTGGTATGGCTCATTGACATTGAAGCAACTGCTTTGATAGTGCATTTTCACGGTATTGTTCACGTAATTTTGAGCATTCATCTCGCCTGGATGGCACGGTTTGCCCCTAATGAATCTAATAAATTTGAAATTCAAAGTACTAATCAGTGTTAACGAACTATGGTTTGATGAAGTGTTTAACGTGCGATTTTCATTTTTCGCATTCCTTTCATTACAGCAACTATCGTAAAAGTTAAACTTCGAAATTTCTCGCAATTACTCGTTATTAATGTTTTCCAAACGACAATTAGCGCTCTTTTTAAAATTTTCAAAAATTTTCCCTCTGAAGTAACACTAATTTATAAGTCATATATGGGTTTGCTGAATACGTGTGCTCGATTGATGAATTATTTGGTGAAGGAATATCAAATGAGTTCGATGATACAATTGAATAGAAATGAGATGGCGAGTCGTCGTATGAAAAAAA